AAAATATCTTCTGTTATGTTCCACAGAAGAAGGAAAGTCATACAGATTTGGAAAGAGATTAATTGAAGAAATGGAAGTAATTTTTTTGGTGGACTGTCCCTTTAAACAGTACATTGTTAACTTACAGTAATATGTGCAATTTTTAATTAAAGCATGAACTCCACAAGTTTGTGTCAAACCTAATAATCATGCTTTCCCACGTTTTGAGATGATCCAGAGAGCATCTTGAGCTTCAAATGAAGCAGGAACATCTGACCATCTTAACAAGGAGCCAAATTATCAATGTCACAAATATACTTATTTGACTAGTGACCTAGAAATGGTGCAGAATCTTAATATTTCTCAATCATTTTGTCACAGTGTTTCTTTAAAAATGATCAAAATCTAAATCATGTGTATTTAAATTAGGTTTTGAAGCTCAATGTGATCTCAGATCTTTGGACCTTACTGTATTTCTCTCTCTGTATGTGTATCAGTCTAATAGTGGGAGTATCTCCGATAGTTTGTGTGCAATATTATGTGTGTGTTGTACCTCCTGGTGCTGACTCTCAGTGCTGCTACACTCCTCTTTCAGATTCTCCTCCTCACTCTCTCTCTGTCTGCGAGAGCTCTGGGCCAGCACACTCACAGGGTCAGGGCCAGGTCGCCGAACAGAGACCTCCTCCATCCCTGGAAACTGACACGCCCTCCCTGTGTCCACGCCCACCGAAGGGTCACTCTTATTATACTCGGCACACAAATTCAGGATGGTCTCAAGCCTCTGTCTCTCCTATAATCAAACACACACAAAAAAAGAAGGTTTCAGCTGTGCATACAGAACAAAAACTCACACAATGGTCTGAAATGATGTAAACACACAGTTAACACTCTCACTCGCTCTTTTAGGAGCTTCATCCGGTATGTTCTAAACTAACTGCAACTTGGCACCAACAGAACATATTGAAGACCACTTACGACACTGTGAGCCCCCTTTAAAATCCTACTGGATTCATTCAGCACCTAGCATGTTAAACAAGTGAAAATCCTGAACATCTGCGACAGTGACTCGTACAAATTCACAAAAACCTTCCTTCAATCCAGTTACAGACCCCCAAACCTCTGAGCACACTCAAACGACCTCTCACCCGACTATGATAGTCAGCTGCTGCCATCACTCTACCTACATTTAGTATGCGTATGTGTGTGT